AATGTATTATAGCTTTAATCATCCATTTATCCTTTTTATAATAAACAACCTAATGGGTGGGTTTTATTTTGAGAAAATTACCGAGCGGACGATCTCATAAGTTTTTTTATTTCTAATTAACGATCAAATATTTTTGTTACCAAATTAAACTTTTTCTTTCCACTTTAATGAGATTTTTAGTTTCTTAATACCCGTTGACAGCATCTTCTCATCCTCTGCATCCCAATTGAACTTGTTCATTAATTTATCTCGTCTTTTCAATTATCACTTTATAGAACACACGCACACACCAACACATCATATACATACAACATCTCTTCACGTATCTTGTTGTCTCTTCTTCTTAGATCGACCGGAATATCGAGCGTCGGAGAGAGGTACAACAACCAAGCTTGGCGGACATCGATTCGGATCGCTGACTCGATACTTGGGGTCCGTCGAGTACAGATTCTCTGGCGAGAGCTTGACTAGCAGCGACGACGGCTCGGTCAAAGGTTTTCGTATCAGATCAATGTCTCGCCTACATGTTTTCATCCCAAATCAATGTTCACTGATAGGCGTGCGACCAAGTTTGAGGGTAGGGTTTTTTATCAGATCCAGTTATCGGCGACGATTTCGGTGGCTCCGATTTGGGCGTCCATCAACGGCGACGCGAGGGAGAGAGGTATCTAAGTTATAAAAATGCTCCAAGTTATAATTAGGGTTGCTCACGATGAATTAAAATTAAGGACAAAGGTTGATATATATTGTAGAAAGCTCCATGGTATACCTGCAACTAAACTATGGCTAGACACTTTTTTTTTTTTTTTTTGTACTTCTTATTTCATCGTAATAAAGATTCTTTGAAAGCTCCATGATTTGTGATTTTTGTTGGACCAAGTTGTATATTTATAGTTTATGTTAATTGTATTGCTAGGTTGGTCATTAACTCTGATCTGGATGATCTTTGTATACATATTGATATTGGTATAGTATGAGTAATTATTTATAGTTTGTTGTAGGCCTTGAAATCTTTATAATGTCATTAACTCTGATTTGCAGTGGTGCTAGCGGAGCTATTGACGAGGGGACGACTTGGTTAGGATCTTGGACAGTCGTTTGGAGGGGTGTGGTTAGGTTGAGGTGCTTACCGAGAAGTAATGCGAGTTGGAAAACTTGTCGAGAAGTGCTTAGCGTGCTCGTCAATATAGGCCGAGTGTGAGGGAAGTCGCATTGGATAGGGATTTTTTAATATTTTTATTCCACCTTTATAATTATTAAAATTACATCTATCATTCCTCTCCCCAACCCATTTGTTTTTGGCAGAGTCGTAGAAACGGAAACACGCCCATCGTCGACAATGCACGTCATAAGGTCCGACTTGTTGAAGGTTTGTCAACGGATCCGACGTCACAAGATCTTCTCCGCCTTCACCACGCACCACCGGCGGGAGGCTTGCATCCTTAGCACTATCCTAATCGTCGCCAACCTCACCTTCGATTCGAGATATATGTCGGGTTCCTTCCACCCTCTGTCGGTGTGGCCCGCCGCCTTAATGCTCAACATGTAACAATCTTGAGATTAAATTTGTGGTTTGGTAATTTAGGGTTGATCAATTTTTTTTTTCTTTTGTTGTAGGAATTTTATTGATTGATCTTTAGATCTATGAATTACTGGGATTTGTTTTTAATTTATGTTTAATTTTCCTTTGGTATTTGAAAGAGGCTCTAAAATTATTACCCATGATTGAAATTTTGATCGGATCTTGAGTTCGGGTTTATCTGTGATTTATCTGTGATTTTTTGTTGGTTTATCTGTTGGTTTATCTGTGGTTTATATGTATTTATTTGTTGGTTTATCTGCGGTTTATTTGTGGTTTTTTGTTGGTTTATCTGAGGTTATATTTGTTTATATATATATATATATATATATAGGAGAGAGTTCAAATGAGAACTCTATCTTGGTGTAAGAACTAAGAACCAATCTTAGTCATTAATTATGTTAATATTGATGGTCCTGATTGGTTCAAATACTTTTGGTATTACTTAATCAAAATACTACAATTAATTATGAGTGTATATTTTTGTCAACATTGTTGTTTAGTAATTACATTAGTGCAGATTTTTAGGTATGTTTAGACTTGATTTGAAATGGTAAATAAAAATTAGTCACTTTTTCTTTTTTCACGTAATTTTCCTTAAATTTAACTAGAAAATTAAATATATTGATAGGAATTACATATAATAAATATTACAAGAAAAAATAAAAAGAACAGCAACAAAAACTCAAAATTTTAGCAAGAAAAAGCAAGAAAAGTGAATTTAGCAAAATAGTGTGAACTAATATGAACTCAAACTTAGCAACAATTTTAGATAAAAATAGCAAAGTCCTCTACACAACTTAGCACATTCTATGATGCTATTTTTATCTGATCATGATGCTATCTTTATGATTTTAATTTTTGAGTACGCATATTAATTAATATATGTACAAGAAAAAAAAAATCATTCTTTATAATAAAGAAATTCACAAACTAGAATACAAAGAGCATATAGTAAATAAAAAATATCGGAATCATTAAAAGAAGGCAACAAAATTGTTTTAAATATATTTCATTAATATCAATATTCATTTATTTAATGTTTGCAAAGGTAAGTTTTTTAGATAGAAATCACATGTAATAAATATTACAAGCAAAATAAATAGAACAACAACAAAAACTCAAAATTTTAGCAAGAAAAAGCAAGAAAAAGCAAGAAAAATAAATTTAGCAAAATACTGTGAACTAATATCACCTCAAATTTAGCAACAATTGTAGACAAAAATAGCAAAGTCCTCAACACAACTTAGCACATTCTATGATGCTAATTTTTTCTAATCATGATGCTATTTTTATGATTTAAGTTTTTTGAGTACGCATATTAATTAATATATGTACAAGAAAAAATAATTATTCTTTATAATAATGAAATTCACAAACTAGAATAAAAAGAGCATATAGTAAATAAAAAACATCAAATCATTAAAAAAAAGCAACAAAATTGTTGTAAATATATTTCATTAATATCAATTTATTTAATGTTTGCAAAGGTAATTTTTTTTTTAAAATATTACGAGGATTTGTTGATAAAATTTCAATTCAATTTTCCAAGAATATTTAT